GTGCAAGCATCTGCCCGTGAGAAAAAGAGCAGTCGAGTGTGCTAGACTCTTGAAACATATTTGCAGCAAAATTTCACAAGTGTATAATGTCGCTTAAATTGTTGTTTTTGCCGTATAGATCCGAGTGACAGAAATGCGAAAAAAGCGTGCCAGCATCTGCCCGTCAGAAAAAGAACAGTCGAGCGCGCTAAACTCCCAGACAGCACAAAATATTTATAAAATATTTATAAAATATTTATAAAAAAGATTTAAATATTTTGAAAATATATACGTTGAATATTTTGTAAATATTATAATGTCCGGAAAATGAAAGTATCTAAAAAATTATAATAAATATTTTAAAATAAAGTGTAAATAATTATCATCAATATTATTAAAGTTGTTTTTAATTTATGTTATAAATATTTATAGAAATAATTACTGGTAAGTTAAGTGGAGATTGTGAAACTGTTATAGCTTCGTGCTGTGAGATGTAGGCCATACGGTCCATTTTGGCGTTACGAATTTCGAAAAATTTTTGATTGATAAATCAGATGTACGGTATATTCTGCCAAAATAACAAAGATAACGCTCTCAATAACGATAAATAAAAAAAAACAAGGCAAATGAGAGCTCGTTCGCGACGATGGACGGGCGACAGTAATAAAATATTACAAATTGAATAAAATATAATAAAGTAAACGTTTCGGTCCTTGATTTGGACCCTTCTCAGTACATATAGCTGGTCGAGTGAAATGCAGTGGTCACAAGTAGTCCAAAATGCCGCGTAATATTTATTGTATTACGCGGAGAGATGGTGTCGTATATCTTATCAATTTGACTGTCAGGTAACTCTTGTGATCACTTTTTAAGGTATGACTATATATATTTGTTTAATTTATTTCTTTTTATGGAATTAAGGTAACAGTCACGTTGAGGATACGAGATTCACACTCTTATAATCGGAGAGCGGAATAACTGCATTTTTGACTACTTGTGACCACTGCATTTCACTCGACCAGCTATATGTACTGAGGAGGGTCCAAACCAAGGACCAAAACGTTTACTTTATTATATATATTTTATTCAATTTGTAATATTTTATTACTGTCGCCCGTCCATCGTCGCGAACGAGCTCTCATTTGCCTTGTTTTGTTTATTTCTGCCAAAATCATTTGTATTTCTGCTGCTCTACTTCTTTACGCAAGCATCTGCCGTAATTCTTGTTGAATTCTGCTGTATGTGCTAGTTTGCAACGATGCCGCTAGGCGGCGCGTAATGGTAAAACTAACTCGCAAGTAAATTTCAGTTGGGATCTAATATAAGCAGGCCTCCGGCGAAGCGCGAAGCAAAATCATGACATTCGCGACAATCTTCGCCAGCAATACAACGCAAGGCTTACCCAACACCACTGTGGTGCTATAAATATAAAAAATATTTTTGTAAATTATTTTAATCTTTCTAAAAAATATTTTAAAAATATTTTGTGCTGTATGGGTAGCAGTAGGCGCTGCTACAAATCTGGCGCGATTATGTTGCACTGCGATTTGCGCAAGCATCTGCCGCATTTCTTGCATTATTCTGCTATATGTAAATGCATACACATATCTTCCACAATTCTGTTGCACTACGACGAGAGCAAGTTTCTGCAACAGAAAAATAGTCAAAGTTGGAAATAGAAAACGCATGATCTGCCCGAAAGTTAGTGCACGACTTTTCATGCAGTTTACAGCAGAATTGCAAAGGAATGGTTACCAGGGTCTATTTTCTATATATGTTACAGTTAAAACCCGAAATCCGTAAAAACCCGAATTTACTAGTAAATTCTAGTTTTAACTAAGCTCTTTCGGTAATTCGCGTTCTAACTGAAAGAATTTAGTTCTACTAGAATTGACCAAATGCATTTCAGTTAAAACTAGAATTAACTGACCGCTTTAGTAAATTCGCGTTTTAACTAAAATAATTTAGTTAAAACTAAAATTGACTGATTGCTCTTATAAAGTGAGGCTTACGTGTATGGAGGAGGGGGGTGCAGCGAGTGCTTTAGCCGTCAACCGTTGTTCGTTAAAAAGTTATTAACCAAAAAAGTTTGAAAAATATAGCCATGCAGTTATTTTGAGTATTGAAAGGCATAAATAACTAATATGTATATGAAAATAGTACATGTATAATGAACAAAGGAAGTCATTTAAAGCAGCGATTCGTTAGTATATATTGAACAGTCTTTGTTAAAGCAGATAATAGTTGGTATAGAAAAGTATATATACAATTTTATCTGTTAGAAAGCATAAATATAAAGTATTCTCTGCTTTAACCATAATTGTATGATAATAATTGCACAATTAAAGATAGTTTACAATTACAATAATACAATTATGGATAAAGCAGAGAATACTTTATATTTATGCTTTCTAACACATAAAATTGTATATATACTTTTCTATACCAACTATTCTCTGCTTTAACAAAGATTGTTCAATATACTAACGATTCGCTGCTTTAAATGACTCCTTCGTTTATACATGTACTATTTCCATTTACATAGTTATTAATGCCTTTCAATATACTCAAAGTAACTGCTATATTCTTCAAACTTTTTTTGTTAATAACTTTTTAACGAACAACGGCCGACGGCTAAAATCTTTTGATTGTTATTCAAGGTCATGAGCTTGACAATATATGTCAAGGTCAAGGTCATCAAAGGGTGGTTTGTTATTCTAAATAATTACCGCAATAACTTTGCTGGTTATAATATTTTATTATTCAGGTATTGGCCTTTTTAGTCTAATTTATTGTAAAGTAAAGTATGAAACGCAAATTGCATGCTGTAAAAGCAGTCAGGAAGCGTCTTTATACCGAAGAAGTGAGACTTTGGCACAAGTTGATGATGCATTAGAAGTTTTTTAGCTAGGGGACCATAATCAACATTTAAACAGGAATGATTCATCAGTTTATTCAGAGGTAGAGGAGGGTCGAAAACAGCCTTTCCAGTGATGATAATGAATTAGATGATCACAATGATTGCAATGCTACTTTTGAACAAGAATCGGAGGCTGAAGCCGCTGATGTTGATTCAGATGAAGAGTTTGCAATCAATATCCAGGACCAGAATGACATTCCGTCAGCAGAGGATCCTGATAAATACCTGTTAAGGTTTTTGAAGGAATGGGCAATAAGGGGTGTTGCACATAGGAAAGTTGATGAGCTTCTTGCAGGACTAAGACTTCTCCATGGCTCTTTACCGAAGACTCATAAGACTTTACTGCAAACCCCACGCAGAGTTGAATTGCAACGTAATGGTGAAGGTTTAATGTGGTACAAAGGTATCATTACTAATTTAAATCAAAGGGTCACAGATGAGTACTTGCTTGAACACAAAGAAATTATTATTGATGTGAACATTGATGGTTTGGCATTATTTAGCAGCACTGATGATAATTTTTGGCCTATACTGGGTTGCCTTATAGGAGAAAGTGTACCATTTATCATGTGTGGCATGGTCTTGGAAAACCAGACAGTATTAATGCTTTTTTAGCGGACTTTATTCAAGAAGTTGATGAATTAGCACTGAATGGTTATAACTTCCATGGCAGCCGCTTTCCCTTTAAAATTAGAAATTACATACTCGATACTGTAGCACGACAATATGTAAAATGTATTTCAAACCACAATAGTACTTATGCATGTGAAAAGTGCACAGTAAGAGGTGCGCGTTTTAGAAATCGTGAAATCTTTCTGAATCTCAATGCACCATTGCGCACAGATGAATCCTTTAGGAGAAAAGATCAGCCTGATCACCATGATGGAGATTCGCCCCTAGAAGCCATGAGAAGTGACAACAATGGAATGGTTTCACAGTTTCGTTTAGATCCAATGCATCTATTATTTGAAGGAGCTTTTAAAAGATGGGTTCAGTATCTCTGTGGATCTCAAGCTATCACATATGGTAAAATTTCAAGGCTAGCATGTTTCAATGTATGTTCTGATATGATTGACATTGCTCCTTGGATTCCCGTGGAATTCAGTCGTAGACCGAGATCTTTGTATTATTAGGTTAAATTCAAAGCAACTGAGTGGAGGCGTCTTATTTTGTATGATGGAGAGCGCATTTTTTGATACAGGATTCATGAAAATACTTACAAGAACTTTCTATTAATTTATTCTGCATCTTATATTCTGTCATCCCCTGAACATGTCTGATGAATGCCGAGAGAATGGGACGATTTTGGATTTTAGTGCCTTTAAGTACGAGTCTTTTATGGCTGTGATTAAACATAACTTGCGTTCAACTTATAAGCCTCTTCAGCAGTTAGCTAACAGAGACATTGAGACAGAGGGGCAACTTATTACAGAGTTAAGGAGGCCAAATCCTAATAGAGTTACATTAAAGAAGCAGTTGTTTAGGAATATTGTTCCAGAAATTCCTGGAGACCGTTATGCGCAAATAAATTTGAAGGGTGTAACTCTTAAAACTGATGAAGCTAATTGCTGTTTCTCATCAAAAGACGGAAACATATTTATTTTAACCGAAATTGTAGTTTCACCGGATGGTGATGTATTATTAGCAGGTCATAGGTTTCTTTGTAAAGCAGATTACTATGACTACCCACTTCCTTCCTCATCCATTGGAATTTTTAAAGTATCACATGTGGATCCTGTAAAATAAAGCACATGTAGGTTGCAGGATTTTTTTTAAAAATGTGTTATTATCCCTGATGGAGACAGTTTTCTTTGCATTCCTCTCCTTCACAGTGGTCCTCAGTAAATTTTTGGTTAGATCTTGTTTTTAATTTGTGCCCTTGCTTTTGTTTGTCTTTCTTTATGTTAACTTAAAATTTATTTTTTACAGTATTCTGTGGTAGAGTTTGTGTCTGACCCTGGAAATGATGAAGAGGAATACCTTGTGGAAGTTGTACCAACCAAGTGGATTAGCGAGGATAGAGAATTCTGTTATTATCCGCCACATTCCATGAGGGGGATTTTCCCCCCAAATGTACGAAGTTGGTGATGAGTCTAGCGGACTATGACTCGTCCGAGTGGAAACTCCTCCGCATTATATACCATCACAGTTATTGTAGGTGTTTATATCCGTTTTTTTATAATGCAAGTTTGTCTTCTTAATTTAATATATTTTGTGGTCCCTGCATATAGCTACTTTCAATGTTGCCCTAAAAGCTAGAAACAAGGCCGTGAAGGAGGACACAATTGTTGCAACAGATGTTGATACAGACTATACACCAAACCACGCAACAGAAAGCCACCTAAGCTCAGTTTTGAGAAGTCCAAAGTAAAAAGTAGAAGGTGAGTATCATCTTGTTTTTAAACAATTATCTCCACATTTATTAACTCTGTTTTTTTCATGTAAGCATATTATACACATATAATATATATATTATGTATATACACATATACATTAAACTACTCCTGCTTTGTTTCTCTCTAATAGGTGTTTGCTTGAAGAAGTTTCCTACAGTACAGATTTCCGTATTTGAAGACCATATGAAACGATGGTTCAACACTTCCATGCAACGGTCAGACTAGATCAACTAGGTTGGGAAACTACAGTTGTATTTCGACTTTACCGTTTGTGAGCTTCATAAAAGCTTTTGTATATTGAAAACTTGCGTGATTCTCATGAATTCTATTATTTGTCTTTTATTTTTTGGTTTGAGTTGTTTTGCATAGTTTATATATTTATGTGCTTTTGAGGCTATTATTTTTGTTTTGTCTTTGATTTAAAAAAAATTTATAATCTACTACCATAATTTTGTGAAGTTTATAATGTTTGTTGGCGTTTTTAAGAAAACAATGTTCTTCAAGTTAAAAGAGATCTTCTACGTTATCTCTTGGTTAAAGTAACAAGACTTCTCTATAATGGTCAGATGTTTGAAATGCAAAATATTTATAAGTTGAACTGGCTGTGCTTATGTTTGAGATTAAATCTTTAACTCTCTCTAAGTCTTGTTGACAAGTGCTATTTGGAGTACTATATTTTGAGGACTTTTATCAATTTTTTTCTGCATTTTTATATGTCTTTGAGAAGACTAATGCCCGTCCTCAGAATTTATATAAAATATTAATATAGCGTTTATATAGTTCATAATGTAGCATATAATATAGTTTCTGATTTAGTTATTATTGATATACTTAGTTTATATAATATATATTTGTTCTTGTGGCTAAACAATGTGTACTACAAAGGCACTGCAATAAAAAAGTAATTATAATTTATTTCTGTATTGTTCCTTCATCTGTGAATTTGCGAAACTGCTTTTCCTAATTAATACTGAATACAAATCAGCGGTGCACTAGTCAAAATGACATCAAAATGACATAAAAATGACGTCAAATTATAATCATTTTTTTCCCGGTTTGACGTCATTTTGATTTCCGCCGTTTTGACGTCTTTTTGACATCATTTTGACGTTTTCGTGACTTTTTATTCTCCTTGCTTCCTCATTATTACAGATCGCTACCATTGATCCTATAGTTTATTTCATACAGCTTTCTCTATGAGGAAGCCAAACTAATAAATACTAATAATTATGCATCAAATAAAGTACAAGCTTCCTCATAGAGGAGCTTTGTGAGCGAAATAAAATACGAGCAATGGTAGCGTAATGATGAGGAAGCAATGTGCAAGTTTCTAATCTGCACACTTTTTTGAAACAGTAATTATTTTTTTATTTATTGAAATTAATATAATTTTTTACGAAGAAAAAGCCTTATTAGTTAGTGAATTTAATATTTACATTACAATTTACAAATTGGAAGATCGGATTATTTCCTTGATTTTGTATTGTATTACTTTACTTTCTGCCCACTATACGGGGCAGAAAGTACCAATTTTCCTCCCTAGGGAGGAAAGTAATGACTTTCCGCCCGCTATACAGTGTGAAAAGTATCAACTTTCCAGCGTGAAATTGGCCACTTTCGCCCCTTTACAGGCATGGAAAGTCGAACTTTCCGTGGAGGTGTTGTGAAAAGATATTTATACCTCAACATTCAACATTACAACGTCTCAGCAGCGTTGTTTCAACTTTTTGTGCTTTATGGGTATAACGGTGTCCTAATGCGGGGTTTACAATGTGAGTCGTATTGTCGTGAGTCGCAAGAAATTGACCAATCACAGTCGATTATTTCCTCAAATTCGATTGTAATTGGTCCATTTCTTACGACTCACGATTTACGACTCGCATTGTAGACCTCGCATAACTCTTATTATAGGAACTCTATACTGTGAGGACGAGCGTAGCCTAGTAGACAGCGCACTGGTCTATTGAGCCAAAGCTAGTCCTGAGTTCGATCCTCGATAGAGCTAGAAAAATTATATTTGCTCGTTCTCTTCTCGGAAGGCAATGGCAAACCACCGAAGCGTAATATTCTTGCCATGAACACTTGTCTAAAAAAATATAGCCGTTCGGAATCGGCGTTAAACTGTAGGTCCCATATACAATGTGTATAATCTACGTGCGCAACCCTTATGGAAAAATACACTCAACTTTTGGTGTTAACCGTTAAAAAAACAGCAAAGAAAAACCTTTAACCCTTTTTGGTCACACTTCCCGAGAATCCCGTACCAGTCACACTGGGTAAAATACACCCCCAGCGTGTTTGCACGTGTATAAAAAATTGTAGGTGACCTTAAAAAAAAATATCTTGTTGTAGTTTAAGTCTTCCTTAAAAAGACTGTATAGGTTTGATTTGCAAAAAATTAATTTAATATATGCAAAAAAATTGTTGAAAAAAAGTCGGAAAAGTAACCTTTTCACAAAAACTAATGTAACTTTTTCAATTTTTAAGATATTTTAATTTTTCAAACGGTTTTTTCATCCTCAGATGACGCACTTTTCACTGATTATTGCAGATTATGCGGCCGTTCCAAAAAGTATGTTGATTTTGAGGTTAGAAGGTGCGGGAAAAAAATGTCGAGAGAGAACTAACGGACCGAAAAATATACCACCGACGGGGATCGATACTTGAAGGTCTCAACACCTGTAGATGGCGGCACAAGGCCCATTTCCATTGTTTTACTGGGTCGTTTTCGAAGTCAAAAAACGCTGGGGTGTATTTTACCCAGTGTGACCGAAAAGGGTTAAAGTTGGGTGTGATTTCCCACACAGCAAAACTTGTTTCAGAAAGCTTTCCGAAAGATAACTTGGAAATTAATATTGAAATGTATAATTGAAATCATTCAGAAATATTTCTGAAACGTTTTATGAAAATCATATATCACTGAAAGCTTTCCGAAAGATAACTTGGAAATTAATATTGAAACGTAACATTGAAATTATTCAGAAGTATTTCTGAAACGTTTCATCGAAATCATTTATAACCCTTTTCACTGAAATATTACGAAGCATTTCAGAGAAATATGCAACGACGCCGCTAGGCGGCGCATAATAGTAAGACTAACTCGCAAGTAAATTTCAGTTGGAATCTAATATAAGCAGGCCTTCGGCGAAGCAAAATCATGACTATGATCAAGAATATGTTTTACGAAGGACAGGAAATTGTTCCGG